CATAGGAATCCTGTTTATTTGGTGAAAACTTTTAAGAATATAGATTTTTGTGACCTCATTCACTTTATCTAAAAATATCTACATTGGTACTTGATCTTAGCCAAGAGGCCACTTAGTGATCTATATATAGATATGGAACATGTTTGTTATTATAAAAATTCAAAAAGTACAGAAGCATAAAAAATAGGGCTGAAATGTCCCTGAGGGTCGGAACATTTGTCTGTGTGTGAGAGGCCTTAGGTTTGACCCCCTAGCACCGTAGTATAAATGCATAAACAAAATAATAACAATGAAAAGAAATTATTTCTTTATTGCTTTGCTAACATTTATTTCTTAACAATAAGAAACACCCTTTCGCCCTCCTGCTCTATCAAAGCTGGCACCTTTGACAATACTGTTTTTATTAATATTTGAGGGCTGACGACAAATGGGATCGTGCTGGTTATTTTTATGTCAACTTGACACAAGCTAGAGTTAGTTTAGAGGAAGGAACCTCAGTTGAGAAAATGTCCCCGCCAGATAGGCGTGTGGGCAAGCTTGTGGCACATTTTCTTGATTGATGGTTGACATGGTAGGGCCAAGCTCACTGCGGCCAGCGCCATTCCTGGTGCTCTAAGAAAACAGGCGGAGCAAGCCAGGAAGTCCTACTCTTTTATGGCCTCTGCTTCAGTTCTTCCTGCCTTGAGTTCCTGCCCTGTCTTCCCTTGATGATGGACTGTGATATGGAAATGTAAGCAAAACAAACCCTTTCCTCTCCAAAATATTGGTCACGGTGTTTTAGTAGAGCATAGAAACACTAAGACAGATACGTTGTTACTTATCCATGTTCAGCGCCAATGGGTGGAATGGAAAGTCAGGTGCCCCGGTCAAAATGTTAGTTTTGTTACTATATAACTGTAGTAAAAGTGGCCTGGGCCTCAGTTGCACTTGGCCAGGATGGCTCATTCTTGGGAAAAAGTCACTGGGAGCATTGATGGCTACAGTTTCCTTCATACAAGGGTCCCCCTGCCACATAAATGTAAGAGTGCTGGGAAGAGGCACGACATCTGTTGGGTTGTGAGCCAAATACAAACAGCCACTGAGAAAATACCTCTGAGCTGTATTCACTTCTACAAAACTATCTGATAGTCTGACATGCTTATCCCTCCACCCGAAATTGGTACTCCTTTACTGTCTGTCCTTACTGGCAATAGGAAGTTAAAGGGGAAAGGCCTCCCCTCATATTACCAGAGAGTATATGTACAAAGACTGGAATGACAGGGGTTAGGAGGTTAGCAATGTCTAGGGAAATTTCTCAAAGGAAACAAAAGGAATTGGAACAACTGTTTCCACCATTCTTTGGAGCCTGTTGTCCGTATTTATTTAGGATTTATTCTTGTAGATGTTTTTCCTTCTTTGCAAAGCATGTCAACTTCTTACGTTTTTTTTCATACAAAAATCAGAATCACACATGTTGCATGTGTTTGTGATGCGAGGGATAAAACTCAGGTTCAAATACACAAGTGTTTCACAATACACTTGAAATGCACACACACACACACACACACACACACACACACACACATAGGGTTTTGGGCACACCAGGCGAGCATTCTCCCACTGACCTACATGAAGCCTGGGCTAACTTATTCTTTTTAAGGATTCTTAGAATTCAGTGAATTGACTGGCCCTAGTAACTGACATTTATGTTCTTGATACTTTTGTTTTACTGTTAAAAATAACCACGAACTGGGTACCACCCTTGTCTGAAGAGAGACACAGTGGGGTGATTATTGCTGAACCTATTTAAACCTAAGCTAGGCAGGGGCACTAACAAGATAGAGGCCGCAGCTGATTGTGCGGCTTGCACCGGAAGTAGGACTCAGGCGTGAAGGGAGGGTTTGGCTTCAGCCCTCCCAGCCTGGACAAGGAAGAGTTGGCCAGCCCCACACATCTGTGTAAGTCGCTAACAAATTTCTCACGACCAGACCCTCTCTGCTTCACATCTGTGTTGCCTTACTGACTCAGCAGGGTACTTCCTGGCTGAAGTTTCCAAGAAGCCCCGGGGAAGAAATGACATCAGCTCGTGACCTTTGAACTTGACGTCTCAACTGTTTTACTGTTCTCTGAGGCAGCTTTCACAGCACATCTGCTGGCCAGGGTGTTAAGATAAGAAGTCCAGCGGACTGTTTAAGGCCAATCAGCAGCAACCCCTTTTGTTTCCAGAGGATGGATGTGTGAAGTTTATGATCTCTGGGTGAACATTTCCTCTTTTTCTTAGTGACCCCACATTGATGCCTTCGAAAAAGTTAACTAGTAAGCCTTTCCAGAATGATATTTTTTTATAGCGGTTGAAAACTGAAGCCTGCTAAATAACTGGGGTCTGCTGTTTCTGAAAGAAAACTCTGTGATAGCTAAATACTTTAGTTTAGAAATAATTTTGTATTTACAGGAAACCTACCTGAACAGAGTACCCATACACTCTGCCTAGATTTTTGTTTGTACTCACTTCAGTGAGAAAACTTTTGATTGGAAAAATCTGGATATTTCGTGAATATAGCTCTTTAAATGCTATAAACTCTAAATTGACATAAAATACTTCTGATAAGAGTTGAAGATCTAAATTGCAAGTATCATAAATGTACAAATATGGCAGGATTTGAATTCATTACATTAGAAAGAACACAAAGTGTTTTATTAATAATTTTGCGCTGATTATAGACCTAAGTAATATTATCATTGACATATTCAGTCAGTGGGAACCAGGAATATTTCTAGTCAACCCAAATCCAAAATCTGACATGCTCTAAAATCTCACATTTTTATACACTGACACATGGCATGGGTCTGATGTTTCCATATGCATAAACTTTGTTATTCCATATTGGCAAACCAAAATCTGACTCCTTGTGTCCAGTATTTTGTATGAAGGATACCCAACCTGTACTAACATTGACTTCCTCAAGATATTACCAATTTAGTTACTAAAAAAACTTAAGCCGTATGCATGGCTATGTTTCATTGCCTATTGAACATTACTGCCCAAGATAATCAATTATAAAATTTAGGCAAAACTGAAATATCTCGGTAAAGTACCAGGATATAAAACTAACAAACAGTATGCAAACCTATGTTTTCACCCTTAATTTTATGCTTCTTTTAAAGTTTATTTAAGACAGATTTAAAAAAAAAAAAAGCATAAGCTGGATGTGATGGCGCTTTCCTTTAATCCCAGCAGTGGGGGAGGCAGAGGCAGGCAGATCTCTGTGAGTTTAAGGGCAGCCTGGTCTACAAAGTGAGTCCAGAACAACCAAGGCTACACAGAGAAACCCTATCTCAAATTACAATATAAAAATAGACTTCACACACATGCACACATATCTAATCTCAAAGCTGGGTGTGGTTGTGTGCCCCTATAATCTTAGAACTCACTGGGAGCTGGAGGCCAGCTGGAGGCTGCATGTGCATTTGAAACCAGCCTATGCTAGACAGGGCAACCCAGAAAAAAAAAAAAAGAAAGAAAGAAAGAAAAATACACAGCAGTCCTTGCAAGATGGCTTGGTAGGTAAAGACATCTGGTATCAACCCTTTTGAGTTAGATAGAAAGAGAGAACAGACACTCAAACTTTGTTCTTTGGCCCCCAGTTGAACATCCGACTATGGTCACAAACACAAAATAAGTTAAAATGTAACAAAACATGTTCCTGGGCCAGGCAGTGGTAGTGCACACCTGTAATCCCAGCACTCAGGAGGCAGAGGCAGATCTCTGAGTTCGAGGCCAGACTAGCCTACAGAGTGAGTTCTAGGACAGCCAAGACTACATAGAGAAACCCTGTCTTGAAAAAAGTAAAATCAAATAAAATAATTATGTGAAACACAGAGAAGACTGGAAGGAGCATAAGCAAATACATTTTTTTAAATTGCAAAATTATCAAGACGAGTTATCGGTTCCTCATCTAATTCATTTTAATGAAATCCCCAAATCCTGAAAAAGTACCTTCCTCCCCACCTCCAGGAACTAAAATAGTCGATGTAAAATAAGTTTGTAGGAAAATATGAACGTACCAGAATGTTCTGGAAAATATAACACAGAGCCAGAAGAAGGGCCTAGCTAGTATTACCTTTTAAAATACACAGCAAGATCTGTGTGATTAAAACTGCTCAGTGCTAACACACAACCAGGCAGAAGTAGATCTGAACCCTATGGGACCTTAGCTGAGGTCTCAGAGAGAAGGAGGCCTAACTAGATACGTGTGTCCTGTATGTGATGATGGTGGAGTTTCAAATACCTGAGACAAATATAAATGCTATAACAAATAGTGTCAAGACACCTAGGTGGCCATTTTGACAGTGATGAAATGACATTCGTTTCTCATATAGTATGTAAGAAGAGCAAACCAGGTCCATTTCTAAACACTAGAGGAAAAGGGAGAGAAAAGAAAGACAGACAGAGACAAAGACACAAAGAGAATAAGTTCTAAACCAGTGGTTTCCAACCTTCCTAATGTTCTGACCTTTTAATGCAGTTCCTCATGTGTGGTGACTCCCAATCATAAAATTATTTTTTCTTACTACTTCATAACTGTAATTTTGCTACTGTTACAAATTGTATGTAAATATTTTTGGAGACAGAGGGTTGCCGAAAAGGTGGCAACCCACAGTTTGAGAACTGGTGCCTTAGGTAAATCAGAGATAAAAATGTAAATACAACCAAAGAACACAAGTACTGGAAGAAACATGAGGTGGTTCAACTCTAATGCCACTGTAGGAAAAAGCCTCTTTGTGTGAGTCAAAACCCAGATACAAAAAACGTACAGGCTCTCTTCCAGGACTGAGGACCCTTCTATACATTAGTTCTTCTCGGCCAATTGCGCTGCCTTATCTACTTGGTCCAGCACGGCTCAAGCTAATATCCTCACTCTGGGCTGCAAGAGGGAACTTCTCTTCAACAACATCACTTAGAAATTGTACATCTCGAGCAGTCTGTATGAGAAGTTATGTCAGCAGTTCTGGGACCATACCTCTGCCTATGTTGACTCTCCCAGAACCACATTTGGGCTTCTGCAGGCTCCTTGGTCCACAGCTGGCACAGCTGGCAGGGAAACCCCGAGCAGGGCAAGGTGTGGCCAGAAGCCTCCCGGCTTCATTTTGTCCAGCCTGTTGAGAAAACAACAAAGGCTCGGTGAGGAAAGCAGGAGGAAGTCACAGAAAGTCACTCAGGAGTTCATGCACTTACAGAATCTGGTTAAGCTAAGGGGCCGGGCAGATGGCTGGGTTTGGGACCCACACAAAAATCTGGGCATGGCAGTTTGTATCTCTAATTCCGGTGCTGGGAAGGTGAAGAAAAGCAAACTCCAGAGACTCACTGGCCAGTATAATTGCCTAACTGGTGAGCACGAGCCAATGAGAAAAACTCTTTCTCTCTCTCTCAAAAAAAAAATAATAATAATAATAATAATTAAAAAAATATATATATATGGATGGACGGTGAGGAACCACACCTAAAGCTGAATTTGGCTTCCATATGCACACGCAACTACGTACACATGATGCATGTATACACACCAAAGAACCAGATTAATGTAAGTGTAAAACACAGTACAAACTTTTCTGTTTCACTTGGGAGAAGTTACATGACTTCGGAGCCTCAGCTTACCGTCTCTAGAATGGGGACTGTATTATGTGTATTATGGGCCTCATGGGGAGTGCTCCGAGAATGGGAAGAGCTGGCTCCAGGCGCACCAGTAGGACTCTGCAAATGTAGGCCGTTAGATAGTATCCCACTTGAAATGCCACCAACCGCCATATCTGTAAGGACGGCCAGGGTGAGTCAGCTGAGTCACAGCTCTTGGGCACATCCGTGCATCAGTTTCCAGAGAAAGCAGGGCAGGGCCTATTCACGCGAAGCTTCAGAAGTGCTGGTGAGGGCCTGGAGGGGTGACCCAGCAAGTAAGAACACTTGCTGCTAAGCCTGACTACCTAAGTTTGACCCCCCAACACTGACTTCTGCAAGTTGCCTCAGCGTGGCATGCGTACCCGCCCTCACAAACATAATAAATAAATAAACACATTTAAGGAAACGTTGCTAAGGAATAACGTTAAGTGCTTGGCCAGCTCCTCTTGATCCTACACCTCGGTGTACAAAATGATGAGCTTCAAAACAGCATCATAAAGTCTAGTCTTTTCACTTTCTCAGCGGAATCTAAGCAGCCCATACCAGTGACACCCTGGACCTCTCAGCCTTTTCAACTGTGGGTCACAACCTCAAAGGGCCTTAGGTGGTTTTTCCTGTGTGTGTGTGGAGGGCTGGGGTTAAAACTTGGGTAATGGTAGAATCTAGTAAACATACAGAACCAACAATTGATTAAAAAGCAAATGAAAAATGAAAGAAAAAAAAAAAAGAAATCTCACTCCCTAGCTCACTTCTCATTGACTAGTATTTAGTCAACTGAAAATATTCAACTGAAAATAAGGCTATAAAACACAGTGCCTGGGCTACAAGTATACAAGCCACATGGATCCCTTAAGAGCATTGGTCTTCAGAGCTACTTCTTCTAAGAGGTTTCTAATCCCATTCAGGAAGCTCCCACCCCATCCCGTGGCCTGATGACTGCCCCAAGGAGGTCCTCATACCACAGCCTTGGGAATAAGGTTTCAATATATGATAGATAACAACGTTTCTTTTTCAACTAGAAGAGTCACCAGCAGTTGTTTCTAAACCTATTGAGTTCTTCTTAGGATAGCCGCTAGAGTGGAAGGAAAGCACAGCAGATGAAAATAACAGTATAAAAATCCGTGTGCTAAAGATAAGGGCAGAGAGGGAGGCGGTGTGCATTCTAAGGGCCTAGCTGCTGCAGACTTCATCATTCCAAGCTCATCTGCTCCTTATTTGTTTCATTTGTAGCACTGATTTGAGTATTATGCCTTTTTAAATGTGTTTGTCTACTTTAGTACTAGTAAAACCCCTAATAGACAGTAGGGTATATCATTAAGTTTTATTTTCCACAGTTCTTAACCAAATCTTGGCTTTTCAGTAGACTCTAATATGCATTTGTTGCTTCAGTTAATGTGTGTGTGTGTGTGTGTGTGTGTGTGGTGTGTGATCTTCAACTATTTTTGAGAACTGTGGATGAGAAATTATTCAATCCCTTCCTACAACACCCCACTGATATTAAACGTGCTAAGTGAAATAATTATAAATTCTCAGGGCTCTACCAGAAACTGGGGTTCATAAAGGAATGCCCTGATTTGGGCAGAACCTGCTGGGCAAGTGAATGGCCTCCAAGGCTTCTGAAGAACCAGAGTTCACCCTCCCCTGTCCTCCCGCCCTCCCGGGGAGCAGAAGCTGCAAGTACTGACTTGTAGGCCCCAGAGGGACTGGAAGAAAAGGGCCACAGTTCAGCTTCTGTGTGCTTAAGCCAGGAATTCCTCTAAAACTTGGCTTTTTGCCTTTTCACTTTCCTGATTACTGGGGATCGTGGGGCTCCAAACTGTTGTAGGAGCAGAAGGATCAAGACAGTACCCAGAATTCCTCTCATTTCCTAGTTCACACAGCAGTGCTCACCCCGCAAGTTTGTAGAGAACTCGGGGTTCCATGGTTACATTCATATTCTTTCTCTCCTACTCTCTCTCCCTTTCTCCCTCCTTCCCTCCGTGTGTGTGTGAGAGAGAGAGACAGAGAGAGACAGAGAGAGAGAGACAGAGAAAGAGAGAGAGAGAGAGAGAGTTAGAAACAGAGGGAGGAAGAGGAAGAGAGTATGTTTATTCATTATATATTCTTTAGTGAGGTTTCAGCTGGCAGCTCACCCTACTGTTTGTTCTTTCTGAAAAGCAGTTTTGCTTCATTAAAATGTGGTGAAAGGAACACCACATTTAATTGAATGAAAACTGTAAATGGGCACGTTAAGTGGGTTGCTGCCTCAGAGAATGACAATGAAGAGAGACTACGAAGAGCACTGAGCTTCCTCTGGCTCCCTGCCACCCTGTCTGGTGTTCTGCAGGAAGACCCACATCCACATCCCCAGGAACCCAGGGTGTTCGGAGCTCAAGCCCCCTCCAGACTCAAGGAACCAAAGTCACAGTTTAGCAAGAGCCTTGGTGACTCTTCTCCCAGAAAGGCTTGAAAAGCCACAGACGTGATCTGGGCAGACTGGACTCATAAAAGACTTCAAAGGGCCTTGCACTTTGCCCTCGAGAACCTATTAACATCTCCCTTTTCCCTTCCCTATCTTCTCCTTCCTTTCCCTCCTCTCCTCTCTTTTCTTCTCTCCTCCTTTCTCTCCCTTTCTACTGTGTTTCTAGTCATTCTTATAGAACATTAAGGGTTGCTTCAAACTGAGCTCAGCAATTGTCCCAGATCAATGTTGAGATATCTAGAAACGTCTAACCCAATTAAAAAAATATAAATACATTATATATGCATATATACATATATACGACTATAGCAAGAAAAATAATTTTCTCTATCTTATAAATTATATAACTGGGGTTTACAGAATTTAGGCTTGCATCTAATCTGTGACTGGCAACCACTCCAATCCCCCTCCCCCATCACACTCCTCAGTTTTCATTGCAGTGTTCAGTAACTGCCAAGGAAAAAAAAGAAAGAAATGGAAAGCCTGAGTGAGAAGTCCAGTTCCACCCTGGAAATGACTGAAGGGGAATCTAGGCTGTTGCAGAAAGGAGTAAAAGATAAAGGAGGATCCTCCCTGAGGCAAGGGTCTTGTAAACAGAGGATTCTGTTATCTTTGGCAATTCTGCCTGTCACTTCATTTTGTTCAACTTCCTACACCTCACGTAGAAGGATGGAGACTCAAAAGGGTGGAGAGAAAGAGAAGGGGTGGCACCAGGATGAGAGTAAGCAGAATACGACAGTTGTAGATTCTGACCCCAGACTTCAAAAGGAGAAAGTAGACTGTAGTTTCTGTTAACTATACATATAGTTTCTATATGCTATAGACTATGTTACTATAGACTGATCACTACATTTGCTAATTTTTTTAAATTCAAAGCCAAGAGAGAATTGAGATAATAATATGTGAAAAACTGCATATTGAGCCAGGAATGGTGACTCATAACTGTAATTCCAGGAATTGGGAGCATGAGGCAGAAGAATTGCTGAAAGTTTGATACCAGCCTGAACTACATACAGAGTTGTAGTCCCGCTAAGAGACTCTGACTCAAAAAAATCAAAACCAAACTAAAACAGAACAAAACCCCTGTGTACTATCACCTACATATATCTGTAATCCTTCTCTTTCTCCCATTCAGTTCTTCACTAAAGCAGTTTGGACATTCTTTTATCCCTAAACATTATCATGGTCTTCCAAGAACGAAATCACTCTTTATAAAACTACCAAACCATTATTGTATAATGGGAAATAAGACACTGATATACCGTCTAGTTTACTAGTCATATTCAAATGTCCCTAGTTACCTCTCTGTTTTGTTCAAGCTGGTTCTATTGGGTTTTGTTTGTTTTTTGTTTTTTTGAGACAGGGCTTCTCTGTGTAGCCTTGGCTGTCCTGGACTTGCTTTGTAGACCAGGCTGGGCTCAAACTCACAAGTGATCACCTGCCTCTTGTTTGCGAGTGCTGGGATTAAAGGCATGCGCCACCATGCCCAGCATTTTCTTTATTGAGCAAGTGTCATGTGTTTGGTAATAAATATCTTAATTTTATTTCAATCTAAACTAAAGCATTGATTCCCTCTGCATCCTCCAACCCCGACTCCTGCTTCTCATCACTTCTCATCTTGTAGAATATATCACAGTCTAGGCTTCATGGGTTGTTTTTTATTTTTTATTTTTATAATTTGTTCCAGATTTATATTTGTTTAAAACTGAAGCCACTACACATAGCTTTTGGTAGGAGTTGCTATCATGTGATAGGCTTTTTGGAATTAAATGTTGCATTTTAAGCCTCTCACTAGGCTAGTGAAATGATCTGGGACCAGGTTGGGCAAATTACATCTTGGCACCAGTCAAATCCTGCCCACCTAATTCCACAAGTGATGCTTATTGGAGCTCAGCCATGCTTGTTCATTTACATATTTTAGGGTTACTTTCTGTTTCCTGCTATGAAGGCACATTTGTGTAGGTGTAACAGAAACCACATGGCCTGTGAAGCCTAGAATATTTACTATTCAGCTTGTCAGAA